TACATGGGTAAGATTTAGTCTCTTAGTTGATAAATTATTATGATTCGCACCCATTAACTGATCATTTGTCTCTTACCCTGAAATGACAACAGCTGGGAAAATAGCAGGTCAAGAGCCTACCCTATCTGAACCTACGGAATGAGTGGCAAAGGATATGGGGCTCAAACTGCACACACAGACCTTTGCGGTACATAAATAGTTAAAGATTAAGTAAATGAGGACATATAGTTGGCATACTAATTCACCAGTCAGAAGGCCTGTGACCAGGTTCCACAAGGTGCAACATGGACTTAACAAGCACATCACAAAACAGACATATACTCTTTTTTTTTTTTTTTTGAGTTGGTGTCTCACTCTGTCGCCCATACTGAGTGCAGTGGCATGCTCCCGGCCACCTCAACCTGCTGGGCTCCAGCGATCCTTCCGCCTCAGCCTTCCAAGTAGCCAGAACTACAGGCGCGCACTACCATGCCAGGCTAATTTCTTGATTTATTGTAGAGATGAGGTCTCACCAAGTTGCCCAGGTAGGTCTCGAACCCGCGGGGTCAGGTAATCCACTCACCTTGGCCTCCCAAAGTGCTAGGATTACAGGTTGAGCCACCGAGCCCAGCCAGACATATACTCTTGATACAGAAGACACAAGGTTTAATGAGCTCTCTAATGATTTCTATTTAAGTTCACTGACTCTTTGATCTGTCATCTCCTTTCTACTATTGCTCTTGGGCTTATTAAATTTGAGAAATCAGTTAATTTGAAATATACTATATTTTTCAGTTCTAAAATTTCCATTTGATTCTTTTATACAGTTTCTATTTTTCAGAGGAGAACAATTTCCACTCATTTCAAGAGTCATCCAGGTCATCTCAGGGTTGGCATCTGCCCATATTGTCTTTTTTCTTTTAAAATGGTTGGATTTCCTTGTTTCTTTGTATGTCAAGAAATCTTGGATTTTATCCTGGACATGCTGGATATTAGGTTATGAGACTCTAGGTTCTATTAACATCCTCTGGAGATTTTCTTTTTTTTTTTTTAAAGTTGCGATTACAAGTTCTATCTTGCCTTCTATGGGTAATGGTTCCAATGTCAGCTCACCTTTCAAAGCCTTTACTATGTTGTTTGACTTTATCCTCTGAGGCATCACTCAGTGACAAGTCTGGGATCTGAGCAGTAATTTACACTGTAGTTCAGTTCTCTGAGTTTTTGTCACATTTCTCTGGGTATGTTCTGGGCATGTGTAGTTTATGGATGAGGCAGAACCTTTTTGGGCTCATAACACAATTAGGGAATTCCCTCCCATTTGAGCGCTCTTTTCTTTGGGACTTCCAAAGTATGCTCCAGTTTCCAGGGGCCAATTCCTCTGGCCAGAGAGATAGTTATTTCTCTTGAGGTTTTAAGCGCTTGTGTCAGCATGACAATGTAACTTTACAAGTGAAGGTGGTCTTCAGGGCAGGGCTGGGGGAGAAAAAAAGGGGTGGAGACTTTCCTTGTCCTACAGCTAGAAATAAGGGGTGTCTCCTGGAGCTTTTGCTAACTGCTGCACCTGATATGTAGTTCTACAAACCAGTCTAACATTTGGTTAAAGCTAAGTCACAGAAAGAAAAAAAAATGATAAGCTCATCATTATTCAAGCTAGTCTTCAAGTTTTTTTTTTTTTGGTCAGAGTCTCACTCTGTCACTCAGGCTGGAGTACAGTGGCATACTCACGGTCACTGCAGCCTCAACCTGCTAGGGTCAGGCGATCCGTCTGCCTCAGCCTTCCAAGTAGCTGGAACTACAGGTACATGCCACCATGCCCAGCTAATTTATTGTAGACATGAGGTCAGAGTTTTTAGTTTAAACAGAGAGATTTACTTCACTTTGGCCTATCCACTATATTTTATCCTTTTCCCAACTAATTTTCTTCTAATGGCTTTAGTCATGACTGATCGCTATCTAAATTCATTATTTCGTTAGGATTTGCACTGTGGGAGTTTCAAAGCTTATCATTCTCCAGCATTTCTTAGTAGCTATAATTCTTCTGAAGATATACTTTCCCTCTTAACTATTTGGTAATCCTGGAACATAATCTGTACAGAAAAAGACTAGTAAATGGCTGATTTTTTTTTCCCTTTCATTTACTAGTTACTTTTAGAACAACGAACTGGCATCTATGCAGCTGTTTTTGTTTTTATTGGGTCAGGGTCTCACTCTGTTGCCCAGGCTGGAGGGCAGTGGCATGATCAAAGCTCACCACCTTAACCTCCAGTTCTGGTGATCTTCCCTGCTTAGGCTCCCAAGTAGCCAGGATTACAGGTGCATGCCTCCACGTCCAGCTTATTATTCTTATTTTATAGAGAAAAGTTTCACTATGTGGTCCAGCCTGATCTTGAACTCTTGGGCTCAAGCAATCCTCTTCCTTGGCCTCCCAAAGTGTTGGGATAATAGGCCTGAGACATTGTACCCAGCCCTATAAGGATTTTTTAAAAAGACTTATTATAAATTACTGGCTTTTTATTATTATTGTTTTACTGTTATGAATTATTCGCATTTTATTCTACTACAATAATTATGCTTTTTAAAACCTATATTTATGAAAAATTACAAATATGTACAAAGTAAAAATAATAATATAATTAATCCCATATATCCATCACCCAGCTTCAACAATCAACAAGACAAGGCTAATCTTGTTTCATCTATTTTTCCTCTACTCCTGCTCCCCACTCTTTTGGATTATCAGAAGCAAATCCCAAATACAACATCATTTCATTTGTAAACAGTTCAGTATGTATTATAATTACCAGGACTTTTAAAAAACATGACAATATCATTCTCACATCTTAAAAAGTTAACAAAAGACGTGCAAGTCCTCTACACAAAAAATAACAAAACATTCTGAGAGAAATTATCAAAGGTCTAAATATATATGGGGTGTACAATCTCGTTAATTGTTGAAATTCTAAAAATATTGAAAGATGTCCAATACATTCAAATTGTTCTACAGATTCTACATTTATCTAGTCAAAATCTCAGCAGGTTGTTGGAGGTAGGGAGGTTAACTGACAAGCTGAGTGCAAAATCTCTATTGAAATTCATAGAATCAAGAAAAACCAAGTTAGAGGTTTTGAACTATTAGATATCAAGACATTATAAAGCTACACTAATTTAACACGGTATAACACTGGCACAACAGACCGACTGATCAATGGAACAAGACAAAGCCTCAAAATAAATCCACGAATAAGCAGTCACCCGAATTATAACAAAAGCACTACAGTAGTACAGAAGGAAAAGGATGGACTTTTCAATGAACAGTATTGGAACAACTAGATTTCTATATGGAAATTCCAGTGAACCACAAAGCCTGCTACATATCACACATAAACCTAAATGTAAGAACAGTCAAGTTTATGGAAGGAAAAAACATAGGAGAATATCTTCCTGGCTTCAGGGTAGGCAAAGATTTCTTAAAACACAAAAAGGACAAAGCATAAAAAAAAATTTGATAAAATGGACTTTATTCAATTTAAGAAACCATCTTAGACAACAAACACTATTAAAAGAGTAAAGAAGCAAGTCAAAGACTAGGAAAAATGTCTTCAATACTTAATTCAACAAACAATTGAAATGATCTATTGCTGGAGTGATCAAGACAGATAATCAAGCAAAGGATATAAACATTTATCAAAAGAGAATATTCAAATGCTCAATAGGCATGTAAAAATGTACTAAACCTTAAGTCATCAGGGAATTATCAATTTAAAAAAAATTCATTTTCACTTTATATGCACCAAAAGAGCTAAAATTAAAAACACTAACAATTTCAAGTGTTGGTGAGAATGTAGAGCAATGAAAATTTTTATACACTGCTGATGGGAGTGTAAATTTATTTAACCATTCTGGAAAATTAGGAGAATCTACTAAAGCTAAACAGCCACATAGTCTATATTTTAGGTGTTTATCAAACAGAAATGTGTATACACGAGGGGCGACCCCCCCATCCCCGAAAAAACTGGAATTGTCTTTTGGAGGGCAGGCCCCTCGTAGTACAGGCTTCCCCTGTTAGATAAGTGTTCTAGGAATCCACTGGGTTTTTCTGCTTTTTATAATATATATACACACACATATATAATATACATACATATATACATACATACATGTATATGTATGTATATATATTTGGAGATGGGGTTTCACTATGTTGCCCAGGCTGGTCTTGAACTCCCAGGCTCAAGCAATCCTTCTGCCCTGGCCTCCCAAGGTGCTGGTATTATAGGCGTGAGCCACCATGCCTGGTCAGGAAGTTTAGAGAAAGATGCTTCACAATTTGCAGAAGAAACGTCCTAAGTTATGGCAAACACGTGACTGGTTCTTCCACCATGACAACACACCTGCCCATAATGCTCTGAGTGTTCTGTAGTTTTTTGACCAAAAGCTGCATGACCGCATGCACCACCCCTCCCTATTCACTCTAACTCACCCTGAACAACTTTATTTTTTGTTTTCCCAGATGAAAAAAGTCCTCAAAGGGAAATGTTTTGCCAATGTGAAAGAGGTGAAACAAAAAACAGCAGAAGCACTAAAAGGCTTCAAAATTAACAAGTTCAAAAACTGTTTTGAGCAGTAAAAAAGAGTCTCAATAGGTATACTGCATCAAATTAATAGTACTTGAAGGTGATTGAACTTTAAACATGTAAGAATAAATACACTATTTTTTATAAATAAATAAATTTTTGTTTTAGGTACCCCCCCATATGTGGCCCAAAAGACATGCTCAAGAATGTGCACACCAGTATATTACTCATAATAGCCAAAAATGAGAAAAAAACGTTCATCACAGTAGAATGAATAAATTGTGACACATCCATACAATAAAGTATTTAACAGCAATGAAAGTAAAGATAACTACTGCAACATGCATCAACATGGATGACTCATAAACAAGACCTAAAAATGCTCAACACAGAACTCAAAAACAGATAAGACTAATAAATAGTGAATGAAGTCACAGTAATAGTTACCTTTGGGAATGTGTAGTAACTGTCAGAGGGCATGAAGGAGACTCCTGGATTGATGGAAATGTCCTATATCTTGTTCTTGATATTGGCTAAATGGGTGGTCACTTAATAAAAATTCACCAAAATGACATTCAGGATTAATGCACTTTATAATATGTATGTTAAAAAATCAATTACGAAAAAAGTTAGCAATACCACATTCCTTGATTTAACTTAATTTTTTTGTTGTTGTTGTTATTTTACTTGTCCATGAAATTAAAAGTCTAGTAAAGCTAAGTTCCTACATCAGTCTGCCTGCTACTTGGGTACTAAAAGTCATATTCACTTTCTTTATCAACACAATGACTGAAGAATTGTCTTGGTATGTGGATCCTTGAGGGCAACAGAAAGTCTAGCTAGACAATTAGAAGATGGCAAATTTTTTTCTTAATGTCAATATAAATGATCAAACTTTCTATATCATTTTCCAGATCTTCTGCTTAGGAGATAATGCCTGGAATGAAATAAACACTCAAAATTTTTCTACAATTATTAACACTATTCTGAGAAACACCACTACATCTTTATTCTTGAATTTTCTTCAAAATATAATATGCATGACACTAAAACTGACCCACTTTTAAATAAAGCATATTTATGGAACTAAGTTAACACCCAACAAATTTTTAATGAAACTAGCTGAAGCGAACATTAAATCAAAGTAAAAAAAAATTTAATAAATTGTACCCAAGAATTTTTAAAGTTCTAAATTGTACTAATTGGTATCTTAATTATGACCTTAAGATTAAAAACTGAAAAGATAATCAGAAAGAATATTGCTAATATGGAAAATCTTATCTTTGCATAGTATTTTTTTTTTATTTTTTGAGTTGGAGTCTCACTCTGTTGCCCAGACTGGAGTGCAGTGGCTGCTCCCGGCCACCGCAGCCTCGACCTGCTGGGCTCCGGCGATCCTTCTGCCTCAGCCTTCCAAGTAGCTGGAACCACAGGCGTGCGCTACCACACCTGGCTGATTTTTTGATTTATTGTA